TCCATCTAGTAGTTGTGTTGTTAGGTTCCACTGAGTTGGTTCCAACTCACAGCACCCCTGGGTGCCCTAGGTACCACAGAAGGACCCGCTGCCCAGCCCTGCGTCATCCTCACAATTGTGCTGTGTGCGCCCATCAACGCAGCCACGGTGCCAGCCCTCTTGTCCAGGGTCTTCCTCTTTCCGCTGCCCCTCCGCTTGTTAAAAAATCATGTTATTGGGGCTCATACAGCTCCTCACCATCCATCCATCCATCCATCCATCGTGTACAGCACATTTGTAGCCCCTCCGCTTTACCAGGCTCATGCCCTGCTCTACAGACGGGTCTCTCCTGACAACGTGTCCAAATCCCCGAGAGGTCGTCTCACCCTTGTTGCTTCTCAGGAGCATTCTGCCCCTATTTCTTCCAACACGGATTTGTTTGTCCTTCAAGGGGTCCTTGGGACTTTCAGTATCCTTCTCCAGCACTGTAATTCACGTATGTAGGAGGGGATTGAAAATACCGTGGCTGGAGGCAGATGCAGCTTCGTCTTCAGAGTAACACTTTAAAGAGATCTCGTGCAGCAGATTGACCCAGCGCAGTCTGTCGTTTGATCTCTTCCTTGCTGCCTTGAGCATCGCTGTAGTGGGCATTGTCTACATGTTGCAGTAAGTACCGTCCCCATTTTGAAGATGAGGAAACGGACGTTTTTAGAAGTTGAATAAGTTGTGCAAGGCTCTGTAACTACTGGGGCAAAGCAGAGATTTGACTGTTCCCCTCCCCACCCAAAGTCTGCACCCACAATGCTACTGTCCTGCCCAGGGAACCTTGGGAGTGAGGGCAAATGCAGCAGGAGGAGGTCTGCTGTGAAGGCGGCCTGTGGGGGGACATGAGGGTGAGGGCACGGAATTGACTCTTGGCACGAGGGAGGTGCAGTAGGTAAGCATTGGGCAGCTGGCCGAAAGGTCGATGGTTTGAATCCACCAGCACTCCGTGGGAGAAAGATGAGGCAGTCCCTTTCATAAAGATTCGCGTCTTTGGAAAGCCCAGGGAGCAGTTGGCTTGCGATGAGTTGGATGGACTGGGCGCCAGTTGTTGGGTGGGTGTCGACCAAGGGCTTCCTTTTGTGGGGTTTCTGGGCAGGGCCAGGCTGGAGTGCCATTTTCTGTAGGCGTTTGAAGCCTGGGTTGTGACCTCTCAGTTTCGCCACCCTGCTTCCCTTTGAGCCTCCAAGACTGACCCATAGCACGGTGTCCTCACAGGCACCGCGTGGCCATCTAGCAAGGCCACCTGGGGTAAAGTGCAGCGACCTGATTTCCTTGGGCGATGTGGACCTGCCACAGGTGCACATTCTCCCCCCACCCCACCCCCACCCCCTTGGTGTCATTGTCATTGCTTTATTGTGCCTGTGGGTGTCTCTGGAGTTCAGCTCACACCCTATGGGAATGACTTCCAGGATTAAATTTGTGGGAACAAAAACAGCAAACTGTTCTTTCGGGACCGGCTTAGAATTTCCTTTCTTCTCTTCTTGTTCAAAGGTGTAGGGTAACGATGTGGCCCAGATTTTTTTATTTTTGGGAGGGACACATATTCTGTGTTCAATGTTGAAAACGTCCTAAAACGCTCGTGTAGGCTAATCATGACCAAATCAAGTCGGTCATTTTTATAAAATGTGCCTTGGCTTGCCCTATTTGGGTTCTCACAATTTGGGGCTCTGGAAAAAAAAAATCAGGTCACTAGAGATAGCGGAGGAGTGACGGCTTTGTTTTGCGTCTTGGAATGCAACGGCAAAAAGAACACGCTGATAAGTAGGGCTTACTTATAAACATCAGCTTACTCTCCTTGCCAAGGGGGTGGGATGGGTGGCTGGGGTGTGTGTGTGTGTGTGTGTGTGTGTGTGTGTGTGTGCATGTGTGGTGCCCAGGGTTGTAGAATTTTCAAAAATTCAAAATGAAATGTATACCATTTTTGACGACCCAGAGAATGGGTTCACATGTGCTAGCTGGTTATCTTCCTCCCCCCACCCACCCCTCAGGGAGAGAAGCAGAGAGAGACACAAGTCACCCCGGAGTAAAGATGGCAGAGGGTCGGAGAAGTCTGTCACTATCCAAGCGCCCACCGGAGAGCCCCTGTTGGCGAACGATTCCGCTCGGACAGAGGACGCTCAGGTAAGACCAAAGGCCTTCTGAAGGCACGCTGCCACGGGCCACGCTCCTGTCGGTGAAGGTTTTCCTAGTCTTGTTGCCGTAGGTTCTCTGGGGGTTTTCTCTTCGTTTTTCTTGCGTGTAAAGTAGTTTCTCTTGGCCCTGTGGTTTCTCCTTGGTCTAAGGGCAGCCTGCACCGCCATTGGCTGGCCCGGGGAGCCTTCTGAAGTGTGATTGGTTGGCTCCCTTTGAGTGGTGGGGAAAAAGAAGCCAGCAAGGTCCCCGACAGGGCAGGGAAGGGAGAAGGCTAGTCTCAGGGACTCATTCCAAAGTGTAGCAGTGTAGGAGAGGGAAGGAAACCGGCCCCAGGGAGCCCAAATCCGTGTTGAGCACTCGAGGGAAGGATTGGAGCACCCTAGCCCGGTGGTTCACAACCTTCCTCATGCCACGACCCTTTCATACCGGTCCTCATGCGAGGGTGACCCCCCAACCATAACATTATCTTCGTTGCTACTTCATCACTGTCATTTTGCTACTGTTATGAATCGGGTGACCCCTGTGAAAGGGTTGTTCGACCCCCAGGTTGAGAACCTGTGCCCTAGACTGAGCCCTGGTGTCATGGTGGATTACATAGGAGTTGGGCTGCTCACAGCAAGGTCAGCAGTTTGAAACCGCCAGCCTTCCCTTGGGAGAAAGATGAGGCTTTCTTGTCCTACAAACAGTTCAGAAACCCACAGGGGCAGTTCTGTTCCGTCCTACAGGGACATGATGAGTTGGAATAGACTTGTTGGCAGTGTGTGAGTTTTTGAGACTGAACATCGCTAATAAATGTGTGAAATACATCTGGGGTTGACAGATAAGAAAGCCCGATGACCCTGTGGGTTAGGCATTGGGCTACTCACTTCAGGGCTGGCAGTTCGAACGCACCACAGCCACTCTGTGGGAGAGCTATGAGGCTGGCTCCTGCTGTAAAGATGACAGCCCGGACGTCCTGAACAGGGTCCACACGAGTTAGAGTCAGCTCAGTGGCAGTAGTTGGTACTTTGGTTGTTACTATATACTCAAATCCAAAATCAAACACTGCCTTTGAGTCAAGTAGAATTCACAGCAACCGGATAGGGCAGAAACCCGCTCCTTAGGATTTCTGAGACTAAAATCTTCACGAGAGCCGACAGCTGTGTCTTTCACCCACGGAGTGATTGGAAGCGCATCGCATAGCCCAGTGCACCACTAGGGCGCCTCAGTCTCAGACACCTGGCTTAAACAATCCGCTGCCATCAACCTGATCCTGACTCCCGCAGCTCCATGTGTGCGGCGCAGACATCCACTCCGATGGGTTTTTGAGGCCTGGTCCCTTTGGCAGCAGACTGACAGCCTTCCGGGAACACCTCTGGGTGGGTTAGAACCACCAACCTCAGTACTGAGGATGTTAGGGAATCCTCAGTAGTGAGGATTTTGAATCCTCCAAAGGGGGACGAAACACCGCAGGCAAGCCTGGGGGTGAATGACACTCCGTGCCACAACGCCAGGTGAGGGGACGCAGGAAGTGGGGGCTCGGGTGAGGGGCTGCGGGGTGTCGGTGTGGAGATACGGGGTCAGGGGACATGAGGTGTGGAGACGCGGGATGTAGGGCTGTGGGGTGTGGGGATGTGGTGTGCCGCCCACTGGAGGTGCCATTGCCTGTCCAAAGGGGCAGTGGCTCCTTTGCTCCAAACGAGCGTTGCCAGCCAGCAGGCGCATAGGCTTTATGCTACCGGGCCTTGTGATTTTTAAGAAAAGCTGATGATTCAGACTGCGTAGGCGCAATCACCCAGTTTTTAAAATCACCCAGTTTTATTGGAAGTTCATTCATTTTGGTGTTTTTGCAAAACACTGTGTGAGTTCCTCTCTCATTCTCAACTGGCTAATAGCCCACCAGATTTAAATAAACATCTGAGCTATACCCAGAAACACGTTCACACCCCCTCCACAGCGCCCGAAGTAGGTACATGCATGCCCAGCCTTGTCCCTAGGTAAACAAAGCAACGTATGCACCCGCAGCTGTAAGGCTATAGGAAGGAGCGCGTATCTGTGCACAGCTGCAGGGGCTCCGAGATCAGCACTTTTAAGCCGAGATGTGGACTGCAGTGGGAATAGCTCAGAGCACAGAAGACGCTGCTGGGACCCACAGCGGCAGGGGGTTTGGATGTGAGGTTTGCCCCACGATGAGCTGGTACCTTCACTGCTCTTGCAGTGCCAGCCTCGGTGATGGGGGGAGGGAGGATGGATGGATGAGGCCAAGCCTAGGACTTTGTGTGGACCTCCAGTACGTGCGTAAGAAGGTCCGTTTTCTTTCAGCTGTCGGTTGGGCTGTGTGGCCTAGGGCACTCAGCCTCTGTAGGTGTTCTTGCTTCAGCAGAAACAGGTGTTTGTGTTAGAGGCTTTTAGCTCCTTCCTGTTCTCAGGCAGTAGACCTGAGAGCGTAGTGGTGGTTTCCCTGTTGGGTTAGGCTGCTGCCCGCAGTTTGAGCCACTAGCCGTTCTGCAGGAGTGAAATGAGGCTTTCTCCTCCTGTAGAGATTTACAGTCTCAGAAACCAGAGACAGCTCTACCTCTTCCTGTAAGGTCCTTGTGGATTGGAATAGCCTCGGTGGCAGTGAGATGGATCCTTGAGGTTTTGTCGAGTTTCAGTAAGAGAGCCCTCTGGGCGAGGCATAGACGTTCACAAAGTCCTAAAAAGAACAGAGGATGTAGTTAGGGTGTGTAGGGGAAAGGGTGAGTAGCTAGATTAGGCTGTGTTAGGATACTACAAATAATGATTTTTACCACGGATAACCCATTGATTATAAGGACTTGTCTAAAACCTGGAGCCAAAGTGTTACAAAGTAAATGATTTTATGAGCTTGCCTTATGTGAAACCATGTTGCATATCTTTGATTGTGTGGTTTTAACCCCCTTCATTACCCCACCCCAGTTCAAGGAGCCCCATGGGGCTATGGTGGGCTCAATGTTTAAGCTGCTAACCATGAAATCAGCGGTTCAAACCCACCAGCCACTCCGAAGGAGAACGATGAGACTGTCTGCTACCCATGGAGACATACGGTCTAGGAAGGCCTTTAGAGGGCCGACATGAATCCGAGTTGACGCAATGACAGTCGGCTTGGGTTTGGGTTTTACTGTCCCTTCCTCCACCTGCATTTAGTGTTTGCCTCTTTCATTTTAAATAGGACCAAGTGTACATATGGAGAAATGAAGAAATGCTGATATCCGTCTATCTACACCCCTAGGAAGATAGCATATCCATCACTCCAGAAAGCTTCCCAGTCAGTCTTGCCCCTGCCTCGATCTCTCCAAGAGATTAACTGGTTCGATTTTCTCCCTATAGATTAGTTTGGGATTTTGATGTGTTAAAATTATATTCTCTTATTATAGACTCCCCTCCCCCCTACTCAGCATAATACTTTTGAGATTCATTCATGTGCAGTTCCTCTTTGCTGAGAAGTATTCCATTATGTGGCTCACTGACCTGAAGTCGATGCTGACTCATGGTGACCCTGGAGGGCAGGGTAGAGCTGCCCCTGTGAGTTTTCCAAGACGAAGTCTTTGCAGCAGTAGAAAGCTGTCTCTCTCTGGAGGAGCGGCTAGCTGATGGTTTTGAACTGATGACCTTGTAGATTATAGCCGACCACATAACCACTCTTTGATCATAAGAGTATACCACAATTGGCTCCTCATCCTCCTGATGATGAATATTTGAGTTGTACAGCTTTACTGTAATTTGAATAAAGCTGTTGGGAACATTCTTCTAGAATTTTTTTAAAAAATCAGTTTATTGGGGGCTATCTAGAAATTGTTTTGTGGACATGTTTTCTGTTGGGTAAAAACCTAGAAGTGGGAGTGTCGGGCCAGACAGACATATGTAAATTTTAAATACGCAGACATACATTGAAATTTGCATAAAGTTGCCAGAAGATTTTCCACAGTGATGAGAATCCCGGCTGCTTCGGGCTGTTGTCTTAAGCTGCAGCCCTCTCATGGTGCGGGACACGCCTGACTTTTCAAGTGGAAGAACTTGCTCCGCCGATGAGGGTGTCACCACAGCCATCATCCCGTGCCGTAGCCGGTACCATTCACGGTTCGCACATCTTAATACTTTGATCCTTCATGAATTTAAGGCAGTTCTGTGATAAGCGGTCTCCGTCATTAACTTGAATAAGGCTTCTCTAGTAGGTTGGTGTCCTGTTCATTAATTCCAGCCCACTCACTACTGCTGGAGTCTTGGTGGTGTAGTGGTTAAGAGTTGGGCTGGTAACTGTCAGGTCAACAGTTCAAAACCACCGGGCACTTTTCAGGAGAAAGAGGAGGCTTTCTCCACTCATGAAGAGTTACAGTCTCAGAAACCCACGGGGGCAGTTCCACTCTGCCCGATAGGGTTGCTATGAGTTGGCTTCAACTCGATGGCAGGGAGACGGGTTTGTTTGTTTGTTTGTTTGTTTCTGCCACTGCTGCTGGTTTGCTTTTTCCAAGTTAAATCACAAACCCATGAGGCAAAACCTTCCTGCTGTGCCCTGGTTCTGGAATCATCACAGTTGCCAGTGAAGTAGCAAAATGGTTTAAAATCCCAACGGTTACATCTGTTCATGAAGAGACAGTTGTTCTAACTTGAAACCACTTTAAACAGTGGAAACAAGACAAGACATTGCCCTGGGTCTCTTGGCGCCCTGGCTGGTTTGTGGTCATGAAACGTGTGCTTCGGGAGGAACTTCTGAGCTATTTGTGGGCTCAGGTTAGACCTTTGAATCCCCTTGACTCTGTCGATAGGAAATATGATGTCAGAGTGGTAGACATTTTGTCAGTGGGTCTTGACGTCCCCTGGAGTTTCCAAACAAAAACGTGTGGACTGGCTGCAGGCAGATGGTTCCTTGTGCAGTTGACGCTCTCGACTATCAGTTGTCCCCGTTCCTGCCGTGAACACTTAATTAACCCCTACTCCGAGAGGAAATCCAGGATTAGGTTCTTGCAAGCTTTGGTCACAACATTCTCATCCACCAATGGATGAGAATGTAGCATTGCTTTATGTGTGCTTCTGTTTATAGACACTTTACGAAAACAAAACAAACTCACTGCCGTTGAATCGTGCTGACTCAGAGCGACTTATAGAAAAGAGTAGAACTGGCCCTGTGAGTTTCCCAGACTGTAGCTCTTCATAGGTGTAGAAAGCCTTGTCTTTCTCCCTCGGAGTTGCTGATGGTTTCAAACTTCCGACCTTGAGGATATAATGCATAACCACTCTGCCACCAGGGCTCCTGTAAAGACACCTTGTTTTTGTTGTTAGGTGCTATCAAGTTGACCGTGATCCATAGTGAGTCTATGCACCATAGAACAAAACACTTATTCCCGTGCCTGAGCCCATTGATGCAGCCACTGGGTCAATCTAGCTCGTCAGGGGCCTTCCTCTTTTTTGCCACCCCTCCACTTTACGAGACATGGTGTCCTTCTCCAACATGTTGAATGTGCGTATGATGGAGTCTTTCCCCCCTGGCCTCTAAGGGGCATTCTGACCTTACTTCTTCCAGTCCAGATCTGTTTGTCCTTTCAGCAGTCCCTGGTCCTTTCAGTACTCTTCACAGCAACAGAATTCAAATGCATCAATTCTTCTACGGTCTCCCCTTTTCAATGGCCAACTTTCACATGCATATGATGTAGTGGAGAATACCATGGCTTGGGTCAGGTGCACTTCTGTCCTCAAAGAAGCATCTTCTTCAGTATTCTAAAGAGAGCTTGTGCAGCAAATTTATCTATGCAACAAGTCTTTTGATCTCTTAACTGCTGCTTCTACGAGCATTGGTTGTGGATCCAAGTCAGACAAAACTCTTGACAACTTCAACCTTTTCTCCATTTATCGTGATGGTATCCAGTGGTCCAGTTGCGAGGATTTGGGTCTTCCTTCCATTGAGTCATCATCCACACTGAAGGCCACAGTCCCTGATCTTCATCAGCAAGGGCTTCAGTCCCTCTTCCCTTGCAGCAAGCCAGATTATGCCATCTGCATCCAGCAGATTGTTATTGAGCCTTTCTCTAATCCTGATATGCACTCTTCTTCAAATCATCCAGCTTCTCTGATGGTCTGCTCAGCGTTCAGATTGAACAAGTATGGTGAGAAAATGCAAGCCTCACGCACACCTTCCTGACTTTAAACCATGCAGTGTTCCCTTGTTCTCTCCTTGCAGCTGCCTCGTGGTCCATGTACAGGTTCCACCGAGCGCGGTGAAGTGTTCTGGAATTCCCATTCTTCTCAAGGGTACCCCTAGTGTACTATGACCTGTACAATTAAGTGCCTTGGCATAGTCAATGAAACATAAGTAAACATCGCTCTGGTATTCTCCACTTTCAACCCAGGTTCATCTGACATCAGCCATGATACATAGCCCTTGCTCCATGTCCTCTCCTGAATCCAGCCTGAACTTCTGGCAGTTCCCTGTCAGGTGCGGCTGTAACCGTTGTTGGATGGTCCTAGGTACAGTTTTACTTGTGTGCCCTATCAATGACAGCGTTGTATAGTTTGAGCATTCTGGTGGGTCACCTTTCTTTGGAATGGGAACAGATATGGATATCTCCCAGTCAGTTGGCCAAAGAGCTGTCTTCCAAATTTCCTGGCATAAATAAGAGAGTGCTTCCAGTGCTTCTCCAGATTACTGAAACATTTCACTGGGTAGTCCATCAATTCCTGGAGCCATGTTTTTGGTTAATGTATTCAGTGCAGCTTGAACTTCTTCCTTGAACACCATTGGTGCCTCCTGACATGGTGGACGGTGGAATATGGTTTCTGATATGGTGGACTCTGTGTATTCTTTCCCTCTTCTCTTGATGCATCCTACATCATTCCATATTTTGCCTACAGACACCTTACTTAATATATATTCTTCATTCCTGAACAATAAACTCATTGCCAATAGCACACTCTTGCATGCATGAAAAAATCTAATTCCTTGCAATCGAAATCATTGCAGCCTTCTTGGGCTACAGAGCATTAGATCGCTCTTCCATGCTATCATTGGGGACCATTTTAAACAACAAAATCACTCGCAAACTACAACAAAAAGGTGAAAACATCTTTTTTTAAAATTATTTTATAGGGGGCTCATACAATTTTTATCACAATCCATACATACATTCATTGTGTCAAGCACATATGTACATTTGTTGCCTTCATCATTCTCAAAACATTTGCCTTCTACTTTAGCCCTTAATATCAGTTGCTCATTTTCCCGCGAAAAAAGATATGACAAAGTAATGATTTTAATATCAATTGCTCATTTTCTTGTGAAAAAAGATATGACAAAGTAGTAATTTATAAATTATCAAGGGTTCATGAGGGAGAGGGGAGCAGGGAGGGAGGGGGGAAATGAGCTGTTGCCAGGGGCTTAGGTGGAGAGCAAATGTTTTGAGAATGATGAGGGAATGAATGTACAAATGTGCTTTACACAATTGATGTATGTATGGATTGTGATGAGTTGTATGTGCCCCTAATAAAATGATTTGTTTTAAAAAGAGGTGAAAATGTACTGAGAGGAGAATTAACCACCCTGGCGATGCTGTGGGCTAGGGATTGGGCTGCAAACTTCTAGGTCAGCAGTTCAGGCCCAGCAGCCAGGCCACAGGAGAAAGATGGAGATGTGGGCTCCCCCGGGGGCGGTTCTGCTCTGCCCCACAGTGTTGGAACGCGTCCAGCAGCTCCACCGCAGTGGGCTTGGGGTTTGGCCGGGCTGATTAACAGATGGGGAACCTGTGGATGATAAGGACCGGAGCTGTAAAGGAAGATCCGTTCCCTTGTTTCAGTACCTCTTCAGCGCTTGGCCGGCCCAGTCAGACTCCCCAAGCATAGAAGTTGGCAGCTGTAACTCTTTATTACCCAGCCATGAATTGAGGTGGCATGAGCTTTTATGCTACAGATGTGTTTTCACACGGTTACCGTAGCAACGGGATTGTTTATTGCAGGGCAAATGGCCCCAGGTCTCTCAGAGCCTCTCGGGAATTCTGCATGGCAGGCTCATAGTCAATGCTATAGAACATGCTGGTCATGAACTGCCAAAACAAACAAGCCAAAGGGTGAAGTAATGCTTTCTCCGATCAGATGGAACTATAATACATCTTGCAAAGGGTCCATGCATGTTATTAAGGTTGACAAAAAAACATCTTGAAAGAGTGGCACTTCCATTTTCTGACAAGCCCGTGTCTGGGATTTATTAAGGAGGCTCTCCTTTGATGTCAAGTGCCTTTGGGGGTGGGGGATGCTTCACGGGTTCCCTGTGTGCCTCGCTCCTCATGTTCCCTGTCTTCTCCCCGCCAGGATGACAACTGGGGAGAGACCACCACGGCCATCACAGGCACCTCGGAGCACAGCATCTCCCAGGAGGACATTGCTAGAATCAGCAAGGACATGGAGGACAGCGTGGGCCTGGATTGCAAGCGTTACCTGGGCCTCACCGTCGCCGCCTTCCTGGGACTTCTAGTTGTCCTCACCCCCATCGCCTTCATCCTGCTGCCCCCGATCCTGTGGCGGGAGGAGCTGGAGCCCTGTGGCACCATTTGTGAGGGACTCTTCATCTCCGTGGCTTTCAAACTCCTCATCCTGCTCATCGGGACCTGGGCACTCTTCTTCCGCAGGCAGAGGGCCGACGCGCCGCGCGTGTTTGTGCTCCGGGCCCTCCTCATGGTCCTCGTCTTTCTGTTCGTGATTTCCTATTGGCTTTTTTACGGGGTCCGGATTTTGGACTCGCGGGACCGGAACTACCAGGGCATCGTGCAATATGCAGTGTCCCTTGTGGACGCCCTTCTCTTCATCCACTACCTGGCCATCGTCCTGCTGGAGCTCCGGCAGCTGCAGCCCATGTTCACGCTGCAGGTGGTCCGCTCTACCGACGGCGAGTCCCGCTTTTACAGCCTGGGACACCTGAGGTAAGGTGGGCCGTGGAGAAGGGGTGGGAGGGGAGGGGGTGCAGTCGTGGGGCCTGGATAGAAAACAGCTGGGAGAGTTTCTGCAGAGGCCACATGCAGGGGGTGCTTCAGGTGTCCAACTAGCTCCCTGAGTTCTGAGCAGACTTGCCGTCGCTGGCTCACCCGCAGGTTGGGGTTTTGCTAAGCCTCACCTTACAGTGGTTGGTAGTTCCCAGCAGGGATGGAGACGAACCCTCCCTGTCTCAGACTGCTGAACTTGCTCCGGACATTGGCTTGTGGTTCATGGGTAAGGTCAGAAGCCATGCTGAGTAGACCCGACCACCCGAGTGTAATTCCCAATCACCCTGTTTCGTCCACTCTCCGAAGTCCGCTGGTTTGGCCAGTCATTATGCAGCCACCTCCTTACCTTGCCAGTAAAGAATTAAGTGTTCAGTAGGGGCTTGACATCGAGGGACAGCTGTTTTAAAAACGTGTGCAGGAGAGAAGCGTAATGAGAAACTGGAGGCTCAGACTTTTAATCTCTGCATGAATCTCATTATTTTTGATGCTTCATTAAGAGAGTGCGGGCGGGCGGTCTAGTGGCTTACACTAGTCGGTGGTTCAAACCCATGAGCCGCACCGTGAGAGAAAATTGAGGCTGTCTGTTGCCGGAAAGATTTACAGCTTTGTGAACACACGGGCAGTTCTGCTCTGCCCTGAAGGTGCTGAGTTGGGATCAGCCCCATGGCAGTGAGTTGGGAGTTTGAATAATAACTTTAGTCTGGTTCCTGAGCTAAGCACTAGTCTTCCCGCATTTCCCTAAGTGGGCGATACCCTGCCTGGGGGAGCGCTGAAAGGATGCAGGGAGCTGCAAAACGGATACCTGTGCTTTCCCCTGTTGTGCGCTATAGTGAAAGAGCTTTGGATTACCAGGAGGCTGCTGAGTAAAATTTTTTTATGTAACAGGGTGTAGGCCAAATATGTTTGGGAATCTATGACTTTTACAGAACTTTGTGAGGCAGGCATTATTCATCCTATGGCTACCGATGAGGAAACTGAGGTGGGAGAGACTTACTACAGCACGGCTGCCTTCACGATGTGTCACCCCAGTTGTCATGGGAGCCTTGCCCAGGGGTCAGGCTTCCAAGCCTGTGCCCCACCCATTGGGCTCCCCCCCTCCTATGTGGCATCTGTGGATCTGGATAACCTGCTTAGTGCGTGGTTACGTGAGAACGTCGTAAATCGTGTCCCTGCTGCGATGCCGGAGCACTCAGCGCAGCCCAGATTGGCAGGGACAGTCCAGTGGGCATCACAGCAGGTGTCTTTGTCACCGTTTTGACTGGCACGCGGGAGGCGGAGGCTGGTTACACTGCCAAACCACCTCTGTGGCAGACTGCGGTTTTCATTCCTATGACGCCACTTGTGCCACCGGCGGGCTGGGGGCTTCGTGTTCCGGGAGCTGCCCCTTTTCCCAGGGAATCACTCTTGGAGTCACACAGGCTGTGCAGTCCAAACCCGCATTTCACCGAGGGTGAAAATGCCCATAGTGCTCTGGAGACTGTTCATTGCCGCACAGCTGTCTTCCCTCATGGTGCACAGTGGGGACTGGTCAGCAGGCTTGTGCTGCACATTGCCCTCCATGAAAGGTGTGCTTCTACCAGAGGCCCCGTGGAAGAAAGGTCAGCCATTACAGAGAACGGCTCTTCTCTGGCCCAGTTGGGTGTGCCACGAATCAGAGCCACCTTGCTGGCGGCTGGGCCTGACGAATTGCATGGTGGCCTCCAAAGGGTGGTGCTGACGCTGCGCAGCACTGCGGGTAGGCGCTGCAGCACGCACGCCTGGGTCGGGGCCACAGGCGCACACGTGGCGGGGTGAGTTTCAAGCAGTGGCGGTGATAAACCCCACCAGGAAATCCTGTCTCCAGGAGAGATTTTGGTGAGGGTTCCAGTGAGGGAGGGGAGTGTAGCTCTGATCACAGTGGAGATGAGTGATCTTTGGCGTGGTAGTCTGGGTAGACTAGAGAAACAAATTCATAGATACTCATCTGTATAAGAAAAAGCTTTACATATATGTCGAGTCCAGATCAAGTCCATAAGTCTTATATTAGCCCCTATGTCCAATATCAATCTATAAAGCCCTCTTCAGACTCACAAAGCACCTTCAATGATGCCGAATGCAAGAAGATGGCAGGCCAGGGGGTGGGAAGTCTTGTGGATCCAGTGGCGGTGTAAGCATCTCAGCGCTGGCACGGGTCTCTATGTGGTTCCTCCAGCTGAGGGCACTAGTGTAGTTCCGTGTGTCTTGTCAGCTGCATTGTCTCACAGAGAGTGAACCTAGAAAGAGAATGTCTCTAGCCTCCAAGGAGGAAATACAGAAGTTCCCAGAATCCTCAGGAGAAGGCCATGCCCACACAGAGACCTCATTGGCTGTGACCTGATTGACAGGCTAGACTCCACCCCTTCTTTCTTAATCCTCTCAAATTAACAGATGATTATATAACTACCACATTTGGAGTCTCTGTAAATGTAGCCAAGACCTTGGTCCGCTCAAGGCCACCATGGTTGTGTGAGTCTGCCTGAGAGGCAGGAGGAACATCTTCTCCCCAGGGTAGTCCATGGGGGGGACTGACTCCAGGACTCCCACCATGCGCTCCCACCCTGCTGGGGTTGGAGCTCTGCTCTCCTCTGAGACTGTACCATTGGGTGCCCATGGGAATGGAGTTTGTGTTCTAAGGAGCTGCCGTGCTCATGGATCCAGAGACAGAATGGGTTTGGGGTTCCCATGGGCTCCTCAGCAGATCTGAGTGGGTGCACGGAGGTGGGGAAACAGCCCCAGGGAGGTATGCTTGTGGTATGCTGTTGGCAGCACTGCTGCAGGGGGCAGAGGTGGGTGGGAGAGGCAGGACTGGTCCTGCAGCAGGCCCCATCCACACCGCCTTCTCCCGAACCACACTGACAACTGCCCAGCCCCAGCTTTCTAACGCCAGGGCCAGCAACTCCAGAGAGCCTGCGACCTAGGTGCTGGCAGGCTCCCAGCAGCCATGGGGGAGAGCCGGGGGGTCCACAGGACCCTCCTTTACGCTCCTCTTTAGGGCTGTTGGATTTTCTACTCCCCCAGCCCTTAATAAAACCCCTTTGTCCATAGCACGGGCTCCCTGGTGGGTTGTGGGTTGGAAAGAAGGCGGCACAAATGCAGTTCTCGGGCAGGGTTGCTGCGGGCAGGACAGCCAGTCTGCGAAGGCCGGGCACCGTGCCCTCAGGCATTGTACACACTTGGTCACCCGCCGGCCCTTGGCCTGAATCTTGTCTAAACCCAGCGGTGGTTGGAAAAAGCACCGAACCAGAAATAAAACTTCTGAGCACCTTTTGTAATGTGTAGAGAGAGACAGACTGTCAGGGGGATGCTAGAGAGACAGGGCATCTCAGGGGGATCCGCATGGCCCCGGTCGGGGTCACAAGGCAGCCCTCCCTGCCTTCTGTACAGCCTTCCCTTTATGCCCCCACGGGGCCTAGGAACAAACCCTGCCTCGCTCCTTCTTCCCTTTCTGTTTCCAAAGATGGTTTCATTGAACCAAACGACCGAGCTATTTTTGCAAGTGGTCAGATGCCTGTCTTTGGGGGTTCGTGAAAGGAACGTGCTTCTTGTGAGCTCTGATCATGGGCACCCGCCGGGCCCTGCTTGGCGGCAGGAAGCCTGGGCTCCTTTGAAGACTTTCAGAAGTGGGAAGGTGACCGCCGTTGAAAGTCAGGTGCCACCAACTGGTGTTGGCCTTTACACATCCCCTTGGGGTTGTTAGGGTTTGTTTCATACGTTAGCCTCATTGCCTGCTCCCTGCTGCCCTTTTCCCCGCAGCAATCCAGTGAGGTAGGACGCCCGTTTCAGATGGAGAAACTGAGGCAGCGAAAAGCTCAGGAAGTTGTCCACGATCACTGGTTCCAGAGTGAATACAGCCATTTCACCTTAAGGCAAACGCAGTATAAAGCGATGTTGGAGCGTTTGCACCATGCAAATACACGTGTCCTTGTGTCCTATCCCAAACAGCATTTTCTATGTTTAGACCTAGATTCTCATATTTGTTGCAGGGGCTACAGCGGAATCGCAGATAATGCTCATGACTTAAAGGGTTCATTTAAGGAGTTATAAATGACAGTGCCGGTGAGAAATGCTCAGGAGACAGTTGCGCATCATCACACGTTACTGAGTTCATTCAGGGCTCCCAACAAATGCCCGAGGGCATGCCACTCCACTGAAAGCCTCAACCCACAGGCATTCAGCTCACGCTCCGTACAAATCCAGCTTTCTAAAGTAAGTGCCCGGAGGCACCTCCCTCCACTAAGCCTCAGTCCAAAACCATTCAGCTCCACTTCCATAGGTCGGCAAACTCAATTCCCCAGTAAGTGCCCAGAGGCACCCCACTCCACAGGCCAGCCTCCTGCCACTATGCTCGCGCCGCTTGACGTGCTGTGTGGGTGCGAGTCCACCACTCTGCCTCCTGCGCTGACTCCCGGTTCTGCTGCTGCTGCTGCTCTGATGTCCCCAGTCGTCTTCTGGATCCAGGAGGGTCCCCGGGCAAAGCGCTCGGAGTCCCAAGGGCTCTGCTCCACTGGCTCTGGCTGCTAGTGAGAGCCCCCTTCCTGCTTCTCAGAGGGCTCATTTTGTGCCTGGCCGGATGGTAATGGCAACGATTCCTGTTCACAGTGACTTACAGGTGAATTCTATCAGTGTCTTTCCCCACCTATTAACCCAGATCCAGGCAGGGAAAGGTCTTGTGGTGGGAGTTACAGAGACTGGTCAGCAACGCCGCAGTAAATAGCTCACGGTCCCTGCATCCGTGTTCTCCTGGGTCACTGTGCCATTCTAGGTGTGGCTTGCATTTTAAAGACCAGCTAGGTCACCCATGCTAAATGGTTTCAGTAGGGCTTCCAGACTAAGGCAGACTACGAAGAAGTAGCTGATGATCTGTTTCTAAAAACTAGCCAAAAAAATTTGAAATGCGGTTCTAAAACCTGGTGACTAGCAGA